CCCCCACCATCACCACCAACCCCCCACATCACCATCACCAATCTCCCACCCCCACCCCACCTTCCTTTCACTCTAGTCTTCTTCGGATCATAACTGGGACTCCTTCTCATGCCTTTGAACGTCCCCCTCCATTTACTGTGTGCTCAGAGGTCATTAATTTCCTATTATGCCAGTCTTCACACTGCATGGTATGCTGCCTTACACTCAAAAGACTGGAATCCACAAGAAACAAGGACCCCTTGGCCCCTAGAGGACCTAGTAGGTGCTCAGCAAAATGCATCTGCTAATGAATGGAAGAGGTGTGTGGTTGGCTGGAAGGTGTGTCAGTGACTGGATGGGTGGATAGGTGGGTGAACGAGTGTGCAGATGGACCAGGAGGTGAACATATAGATAGATGTGTGTACACATGCACGGCCACTTACCAGTTTCTGAACCACAGGCAAATTCATGCTCAGCTCCTTCCCTTCAGAACAATTACTTGTTTATTTTGCTTTAATATCTGTTTTCCTACGCAGTGCAGGCTGTCTTGAACTCATAATCCTCTAGCCTTAGCTTCTTGAGTACTAGGATTAGAGGGATGCAACACCATGCCCAGTTTAACAAATCATCATCATCATCATCATCATCATCATCGTTTCACTAATGTAGCCCTACTGGCCTTGAAGTCACAATTCTCCTGCCTCAGCTTCTCAAATATTAGGATCCTAGGTATGAGCCACCATATGGGATTTAACTTATTGTTTTGGTGTGACCTACTATTCATGAGTCTCTCTGTCTTGAATGAGGTAGAGAATTGAGCGAAATGCCTTTTCCATGAGGAGATCAGGCATATATATTCAGGGTAGGTAGGGTGTAGACATGACTGTCTATCTAGCTCACAACTTCCTGTGGGTTGTGGCCACGCCCGACAAGCTGAATTACTTTTATGGTAGCCGGGACCACACAACCTTCCTTCGTCCCAGCGGGGCCTCCTTTCTCATCCACAGCTTTGGCGTTGACTCAACTTCTGGCAGAAAAATTTGCCAGACGCAGGTGAGGGGAAGTAAACAATGGCCACGATAGTGACTGATAATAATAGCAACCGTTACTACCTGTGAGGATCCACACATGCCAGCCATGACGGGATCCCAGGAGCCCTCCCCACCCATGCCCCTGCTTCATAAAGAACTCTGCCTGACCCACGCCCTTCTCCATGCCTCCTCACTTCTTCTTTCACTGACAGCACCACCTTCTCCATCCTGTGGTCCACCCTTCTCACTAGCGCTTCCCCCCACCCACTGGGAGGCCACGGCTCCTTGGCAGTGTGGTTGGAGGGAAGCTGCTCTATGCGGGTGTGTGTGTGTGTGTGTGTGTGTGTGTGTGTGTGTGTGTGTGTCTAAATCCTGCAAGGCTCCTCTTCCCAGGACGTGTGGCCACCCAGCAGACACCCTGGGATCAGCTTGCCATTCCTGGGTCCTGTCTCTCTCTTCCATCTGTTCATACTGGTGCAGCCAAGGACATTTTTGTGACTCTCACCCTTCTGTCTACACAGTGGGTCTGATGCCGGACACTCCACCAAGGTGAATGAGCTGAGGTGAAGTTGCTTGTTCCAAGCTCCCACTGAGAGCTCACTCCTTTCCTGATACTCGGTCCCTCTGGGATGTGGGATTCTTCCCCTGGGCTCCCTGGGGCTCCCTCCACAGGAGCACCCCTGTGTTCCCACAGGTGGGCCAGTGGGCACTCAGCAATGATAGCTCATGGTTAAGTCGTCCTCAGGACAGCCACAGGATCCTCTGCATTTCAGATGAGAAAGTGGGACCCTTCAGGGAGATTTAGAAACTGACCCCAGGGCACAGGGCCAGCAAGTAGCAGGAGCATGCCCAGGCCTCTGTTCTAGACTTCACTTTTACCTCAAGCACCCCACTGCCCTCCTTAGGTTACCTTCTCCAAGCTTCTGTCCTCTGGACATAGGCTTCCTTAATCTACACGGGCAGTGCCGGACACTGACCCCTGGGCCCCTGCTTCTTCAGGCTCATCACTTGTCTGTCTGAATTCTCCCACCCCTTGCCTTCTCATCTGCCAGATCTGTGAAGTCTGCCCCAGCAACATGCTCCTGGAAGGCAGTAACATGCTCCTGGAAGGCAGTAACATGCTCCTGGAAGGCAGAACACCATCCTCTCCAGATTCACTCAGCCTCGGCGACCAGCTTCCCCTCAAAACGAGCAGCATTCTCTCCTCCCTGCCGTCACCCCCCAGGCTGAAGCTTTGCCCTTGACTCATTCCGGGCCTCCAGCCCCCACACCTCGTCTCTGTCAGTGTTCCTCACCTCCTCCTCACTCCACCACCTCGTTCTCTTCTCTACCTCCCACACAATACAGCCCACAGGGCCCACTTCCTCCCGGGAAGTTTCTTCCACTGCGGTCTAGCCTGCATACCTGCCCCTGGTGACGTTTGCCCACGCCCACTTTGACCATGGGGTGTCTCACTAAGGATTATCAGTGGAACAATTACAGTGTTGCATGCCTATAACCCCAGTTATATCCAGGAGGCTGAGGAAGGAGGATTGACCCGCTTAGGCTACAAATGAGATGCTATCCTCTCCCAAAAAGTAACCATCGCCCAGGGCGGTGGTACATGCCTTTAATCTCAGCACCCAGGAAGTAAAGGCAGGTGGATCTCTGTGAGTTCAATGCTAGCCTGGTCTACATAGTGAGTTCCAGGACAGCCAGGACTAAATAGAGAAACCCTTCTCCCCCCACTCCCCGCAAAAAGTAGCCATAAATGGTTCTGTATGGTTTGGATATATGAAATGTCTCCCAAAAGGCTTATAAGTTCATGCTGGAGAGATGGCTCAGCAGTTGAGAGCATTTACTTCTCTTCCAGAAGACCCAGGTTTGGTTCCCAGCATCCACTTGTTAGCTCACAATAACCACCTGTAACTCCCCAGTTCTAGGGGACCAGACATTCATTTCCTTCTGGGCACCAGGAATACATGTGTTATACATACACACATACAGGAAGCATTTATATGCATAAAATAAAATAAACAAACATGGCAATTTGGCTCAGTAGCTAAAGGCACTGGCTGCCCAGCCTGATGACCTGAGTTTGATCCTAGGAACCCACATGGTAGAAGCTGAGAACCAACTCCAGCAAGCTGTGCTCTGACCTACACAGGCACATGGCGGCACATCTCTCTGTCTCTGTCTCTGTCTCTCTCTCTCTCTCACACACACACACACAATAATTTTTTGCAGTAATTTAAAAAAAAATTAAAGAGAAAGGTGATTACCTCACAAGGGTGCTAACATCATTCTTTGGTTTATCCACTGATGAATTCCAACTAAATGGGCTGTGAGAAAATGGGGTGTGCATAAAGGAAGTAGATCACTGTTGGGGGGGTGCTGTGCCCTGTAAAAGTATCCTGGATCACTTCCTCTGTATTCCGATCTCTTGGAGACAAGCAACCTTGCTCCACCATGTCCCTGTCATGCTTTTCTGACTCCACACAGACCTGAGTGAACACACTAAAGACACAAGCCAAGCTAAGTCCTTCCACCTCTGACCTGCCTCCCCCATGTGTTCATCACAGGGGCAGAAAAGCTGACAGCACAGGTCCCTCATGTCCTTCCATCTCTGTGTGGGTGAGACTGTCCCTTTCAGTCCTGGAGGATGTCTCCAAATCTGTCCACTCCTTGAGCATAATATCCTGGAAGATGCAAGGCCAGTGCCCCTTGCAGCGGGGGAGTTAGGAGCAAACGGTAAGCTGGGTACTGGCTGGGACTCCAGCTACCATTCACTTTGGGTTCAAAGTCACCTCCCTCTGAGCTTTAGTTTCTACATCTGCAAGATGAAAATAATAATAGCGATGACATCAAAAGTCTACGGTGTCTTTTGTGACTATAGCCGGCAAATTGAGCCTGTTCCTGATTTTAAATGCCATCTATGTGCCGGTGACTCCGACTTTCACAAACTGCAGACTCAAATATCCAGCTTCCTACTCAACACACCAAATAGGCATCTTCAACCCCCATGTCCAAAGCTGAGTTCCCGATTCCCTCACTCCCACTCCCATTCCTCTCCCCCATTCTCCACCAGCCCCTTCCTTCCGGCTGAACGGGCCAGAAGCCTGGGTGCTGTCTTACCGCCTCTTCCTCTCTCCCTGCATTACATCTGCTGGAGAGACTCAGATTCTATTCTCTCTCCCCTGGATTCCTTCATCTACCTCCTGGCCTCTTCTGCCACGCTCGCTCTGCACTCTGCCCCCAGCACAGGTCCAGAAGTCACAGCTCTTCTGGGCTTAGAAATCTCCCGAGGCTCTGTGTTCACTCAGGGAACAAGCCCACAGCCCTCCTGGGCCACTCTGGCCTTCTTGAGTCTTCCCTCCTCTGGCTTCCACACTGACTTCACACTCTCTCCTGGAAGAACAGTCTGAAGACGTCAGCACAGCCTCAAGATGCTAGTTCGGACGTCCGAGGCGCCCCTGTCTCAGCGGGCATCTCACACCTCCTGGGCACTTCTTCCTTTTCGGCATTCTACTGCAGACTTCCTCTCGGGTCTGCTGCTTGTCACCTGCTTCCCAGCTGCACCCAGACCACGTCCCCACTGGGTGGAAATGTGTCCTTTGTTCAGTGCAGTTGGTCCCCACCCCCCGACCCCCACCCCCACCCCAAGTCAGCTGAGAGAGAGGAGTTGTGGGGGGAAGCAGGGAGGAAGGGAGGGAGGGTCATTCCTGAGGTAGAGCGCATACGCCTTTGCACAGGCTCTCACTCGTGATAATGAGCCTGTCCCCACAACTCTAATGTCTGGGTCTCAGGGTACTGAACTCCCTCCAGCCTATAAGTCCCAAGGAGCACTTGTTCCGTTGCCTGGTTATTT